ATGATGTTCTTCAGAACAATATGTTCGGCTGTACAGAATACAGTGCACTCGACTTGGTCGATGGGTATTACCAATTGCTCATGAGAGCGAGTGATATTACGCTGAAGTACTTTGAGCAGGATGATCTGGGAGGGGCTAGTGGTGCCCCAAGGGCTGTCAAATACATCAGCAACATTTAATCGTCTTGTGACGCAGTTGTTCAGGCCCCATCGGGCGTAAGCACAGACATACTTCGACGACATCTTCGTTCATTGTCGTGCGGGGCACGGGAGGAAGGATGAGGATAACCACATCGTCAATTTAAGGGCGGTGCTCGAGTGCATGCGCACGAATAAGCTGTATGCTAATACAGACAAGTGCGTCTTCGGCACCGAAGAAATCCCCCTTTTAGAGTGCTTCATCGGGAAGCGTACTTTCGAGCGGATCGCGCTAAGGTCAAGGCCATTGTGGACTGGCCGGTTCCAAAGAATCAATAGGACTTGCGCAAGTAGCTTGGCCTTGCCAAGCGTCGCACAAGTACAGCAGGAACAACGTAGAAATGGCTCGGCCATTGTCGAATATTTTTAAGAAGGATGCGGAATGGTGTTGGGACACCGAACATCGGGAGGCTTTTGACGGATCAAAGACAACCTCCTGCATGCACCAATACTGGCGTTGCCAGACCCTTTCAGTGTCGTCTGGGACGCTTCGGACTTTGCCATCGGCTGTGCACTGCTGCAAGCAGATGCCGAGGGGCGAGATCGGGTGATCGCGTTCAAATCTCGCCGGCTCAAGGTTGCAGAGAAGAACTAACCAGTTCACAACAAGGAATTACGTGCGATGAAGTATGCACCTGTCAAGTTCAGGGTGCACCTGATCGGCTCCAAGCCATTCGTGACATACACAGTTCTCGCGCCACTACGCACTGCGGCTCAGTCGCCCCACCTCTCGTAGAAGATGGCCAGGTGGCTCCTTTGCAGGAAATAACTTTGCGGTAAAGTATATGACAGGAAAGCAGAATACTCTGACTGATGCGTTGTCCAGCAGACCAGATCATGAGCTTGCCCATGTCACAACAGTGGCGTCGACCGTGACAGATTTGATCCGCGCCGTGTACGCAGGTGGTGAAACGCGCTTAGTGCTACTGCGGACTCTCGAGAGCAAGGAGTATGGAAATTCGGACAAGAAGTTGTCGTCGCGACTGTTGCACCTATATTCGCTGAATGACAAATTGCTGTAATATAGCACCGACTCGACGGATACGCCACGAATTGTGGTTCCTCACGATGAGAATGTGAAGTGCCGTATCCTCTATGAGGCCCACGACACCCCACTCAGTGGCCATCTCGGTCGTGATAAGACCTACAGCTCTGTGAGCTGCCACTACTAGTGGCTCAAGCTGAACAAATGGACGAGCATCGATGTGCGTACGCGTGAGACGTGTCAAAGGATGAAACCCTCTCCGTATGCGGCGGCGCCACTGGCCAGTTTGCCGGTACCCTCCGAGTGCTAGCAGTCCATTTGTATCTGGCCTGCTGAGGGACTCGGCGGGCAACACGGGTGTCGTGGACTTCGTCGATCATTTGAGCAAGATGACTCATCTTGCCGCAGTACCGGATACCATCGACGGTGTAGGTACAGCGACGTTGTTGTGAATCGTGTCTTGGACTCTCGGAGTCAATTGTCTTTGGCAGAGACCCAAGCTTCACTAAAAATTCTGGTCTACAATCTTCAGGGTACTGGGCACCAGCTTGACTATGTCAACAGCGGACCATCCGCAGACCGATGGTCAAACTGAGCGCGTGTCATCAACACGTTCCTCGCAGCGTCTGCGCTGAGACAAGGGCTGCAGCGCCATGCTGCATTTTAAAAATGCAGTTTATTCATCTACCGGCTACACGCCACTCTACGTGAATGAACTCGTTCACCCTCGCTTCCCGCTGGCCGCCATACCATGGCTCAGGGCTTGGTGGGGGAGGAATAACCGAGCGGTTAGCTGATCTCAGCTTCCTTACTGTGCGTAAAGAATTCGTTGACCTCATGTCTACCTTTTTGAGTGTCCCACGACACCGATGGCTGAAAGCCAAGACATGAAGAAAGAATATGCAGACGGAAGAAGCAGAAGAAATGTTGAAAGCTTTGAGGTCGGCGCGATTTTATTAAATGCTAAAATTCTTTCTATACATGCAGTCTCTGCTGACGTTTAGACGAGGATCTGTCTACGTTTTATTGAAACTTTTAGGGTCGTGGCAAAGCGAGGCCTTGCGTATACGCTAAACCTTTCCAGAACGATGCGCACACACCCGGTATGTTATATGGGCTTGCTAAAGCCGTACCGGGATCCGGCGCAAGTGGACGCGGAAGTGTTGGCGCCGGGGCGGCGCCCAAAGGCGCTCGGCCACCCAGAAGCTGAACCAGCAACTGGTTTTGAGTACGGAGTGCAACAATTTCCGTTTTTAGCGGCGCAAGGCGCTCCACCGTTGCACGAAGGGATGTATTCGTTTGTTCGACGGCTAGGAGCCGGTCCGACAGAGCACGATTATCCTCAATGTGAGGCAGGCGGTGTATAGGGCGCTCTTGACTCTCGAGAACTTCTGCACAGCGGTAGACGAACTCGAAGAGATGCTCGGCAGAATGCTAATGACGATGTACTTTGTCCTCCAGCGTTAGAAGAGCATCGCGAGTCACCGGACGGCGATCGACCAAGTCGTCATCGTCCGCCACCTACTCTTCTCGACGAGAACAATGGTGTCCACAATCACGTGGAACGTCTTGTAATTCGACGTCGTCGCCAGAGTCAAACCCAGTGTCTTGTGTAGTGGCGGGGATACCCCGACTCCAAGACGTGTGGGAGTTTGAGGTACCACTTTGGCAAAACTGCCCAGACGTCGCGGGCGCTTATGATCAAAGGGATCATGATGTTCCACGTCGTCGCACACCTCGCGCTTCTCGGTAATAGCCACGAAAGCCGAAGGGCTATGAGCTGAGCTCAAGTTATGGCCCTGAGCTGCTGTGGTCGCAGAATCACCCATGTGAGAGGCCACACAGCTAGCGGGAGCGTGATGGATTATTCCATGTGTCACAGGGCGGCAATACGCAGAAAGTCAGCGTTGCGCCTTGAGTTAGGCAAACTCAAAACGAAGATGGCGTCCTACGCGCACGTCCACTTCCTTGTGGCTCCGCTGTAATTGAGACAGCGGGGAAAGATTCTGATGCCGTTGTACCCATTGCTCAAAGAACTTCTCATCATCTGCAGCGGTTTCGTTAGGGGCGAGGACCACATGAATGGTCCACATTGCGGGTATAGGAGTTCCTCTTCTTTGAGCTCGAAGTCGAGCGCAGTCCATATCCACTGGAATTTCTTGACAAACCAAGAAGCGAGCTCGGAGAGCTTTTCGCTGATCACGGCCAGCTTGTGTATGAGTAGCCCGACTACGTAGACGTCTAACGATCGAGTGATTGCATCAGTAGCGGGACCTGTCGGGTGGAAGCCGCATTATACACGAGGGTCTATGACCGAGCGTGGATACCAGCGCATTAGAGCCGTCTTGTGGGCAGCCTCCAGCTGCTGCTTCTGTGCCTCGTCGAGGCGATTGGTAACAATACCTTTTCCTCCGGAAGTCGAGAGGTCGGGGAACGGACACGGTGTCCACAAGATTCGAGCTGGGCTCACGTCGCGCCGTTGGTGCACCTCACCCTTCTCGTCTTCCCATGCTAGGAAAAGAGTATCCGACTCGTAGTCGACTTCCTCCGAATCCTCAAAGAGTAACTTCGTCGCCCGGGGCGGGCGCGGTGTATGGCGCTCGGTTACTGAGGGCTTAGTATGTGTTTCCCGTGAAGCCGCGGACGTACTGTCCGGATATACTCCCCGTGCAGAAGAAGAAGGGTTTTGCCCGCGGGCGCCCTCGGAACCAGGTGGGCTGGGTGTTTTTCGTGTCATAGACACAGGGCTCATTGAGCAGAGAATGTTCAAGGATGTTCTTAAGGACGTAACGGTGTCGCAGACACGCGAGCCACGTATGAGGCGACAGTTAATTGTGAATTGTTGGTATATTAAATTTTGATGGGGAGAGTGTAACGGGGCTACACGTACCCTTGTATGAAAGGGCGGTTTTTTAAGATGGTGTGACTGTACACAGGTGTGGATTACACAAGTTGGTGTAATCCACACAATGGTGTGGCTTCACCTTAGCAAGAAGCCACTACGTGGCAGGACTGCCAGTAGTAATGCATTTTAATGAGGTCTTACTAGTTAATTAGGAAGACCTAAAGATTAGATATAGGCGGCTCTACCGCAAATGAAACAATTCAATACAGTTTCAATTTTAGACAGAAGAGTTTATTTGTCTTAGTTAAGGTTTTGGGTACTCTTGAATGTAGCGGATTGCGATCGCTACACTCGTACTGGTTCTTGTAAAGAACGTAAGGTCGGTGACCTTAGCTTAGCTTTCTCTAAGCAAAGAGCTACGGCAGATTCGCTGCATATACGGCCTACCTATCTTGTTTGGTCCCTACGCGTGCCGGGGTCATCACATTTCATCTGACATATTTAAGCAAAGCATTGCATATGCTCCGCATGCCGAACCACAATTAACATATAAGCAACATAACAACATTCACATTACATATATTATTCCCAGTCGCCACCACTGGCATCAGCAGATTAATATGACAAAAAAGTGTATACGGCGAATATTGTGTCAGTCAGATTTTCCAATACGACTTTAATGCTGGATTAGATTCCTAACTCTAATTTTACATTTGGAAACGATATGTTTGAGTTTACAATTAGTGCCAGGTGGATGCTAAGCCCACGTACAACGCAGCGCAAAAAACCATACGTTATAAACATAAGATAGAACAGTGGCCCACTCACTATGTCATGATAGTTTAAACAAGATTGTTGATTTCTTCTTTCCGGATATGCCGGCGTCCCAATTGCGTCCTAAACCGGCTATTTGTGAACAAGCAAAACAAACGATCTGGTGCTTCACATTCGAATAAAACTGAGCGTCGTATAGTCAGGCCTCTCTCTATACGGAATATTCCTTATATTCCATATTCTTACGAAATACGGAGCGT